TATATAAGGCGTTGGTGTAGGCAGAATCCCCGCGGAGATACGTTTTAAATAACTGTCTTTTGTGTGTATTCAAATAGGATTGATTTGTTGGATATAAATAAGAACAACTGGTTCTTGCGCCCTCCTCAGTGGTTGGTGCCCTGTCTGTACTGCTCAGTGACCAGTACCCTGTCTGAGCCTTCCTCTGTGGTCGGTTCCCTGTCTGTGAAGTCCTTGTTCTCGAACAGTAGAGTTTAAGGCGCCCCGCGGGCCAATCTGTTGGTCCCTCGGGTCTATTGAAATCCTCCTCCACCCCCATTTCTTTGTATTCAAGTCGAATACTTTAGTTGCTCGTCAACTTCTGTATCTCTAATTGTCCTAATAAGACTTTTACGACTGACTACGTTTCCATCCGTTCATAACACGAAAGGTTCAATCTTACCTGTATACTTCAGGGTGACCCGAACTCAATTGTGTGCATTCTTGAACAGTGTGTGTGTTGTGTGATTGTAGTGTTGTGATTGGGTTGATAGTTTAGGTTGCATTAGTGACCTTTTCGATCTTCTTAGTTATTTCTGTTTCACCGCGCTGGTCAATAGCATCGTTTCACCGGGTTCGGGTGATTTGTTTCGACAGTTGCCTTTAAAATTTTACCTTTCGCTCTCTTTGACTATTAGTTAGGTGTTCTCCCGCTCAAGCCTATTTTGATTTTACGGGCCTGAAGTTCGACTCTGGCACTGACACTTCTTCCGAGTCCCATGTCCTAGCCGTTGAGTCCGAGCCCCTATCGTTGCCCGGTCGAGACTCCATCATCCAAAAGCCCTACCTACACTTATACCAACATTGAAGGACATAAGAGACACCTGGTAGCACGATGGCGTGCATCTGCTGATTATGTCGGTTCTTGAGTAATGATGTCAGCAGAAGGTTCCCTGTTCAATTCCGGGTCGGGTGGTCCCCAGTTGCAGTTTGTGTTCTTTTTACTTTTTACTATCTATTCTTTCCTCGCTCGCTAGCTATTCTATAGTACAGACATCAGCTTAAGCCGATTTTGATTTCCCATTGTAGCCCATGACCAAATCACTTGACCGGTTCCAGTGATGGGGAGTGTAGTCGCAGAAGGTCCCTGTTCGAATCGGGGTCGGGTCGTGGGCTAAACTTCCACTGCTTTTACTGAAAAAAAAATTCCGAACTTTTCTTCTTTTACAAAAAAGTGCTCTCATCGCTGTTAATATTCTCAGGTACAACTCCAGCCGATTTTCATTTCGCTGCGCCCATGGCCAAATTCGACCGATTCCAGTAGATCCCGGGCCACTGGCACCTTCACATTTCCCAAATTTTCCAAGTCTGACAAGTCCAAAAGCTCTACCTACACTTATACCATTGACAACATTGAAGGAGATAGCAGACACCCGGCAGCACACGGTGTGCATCTGCCGACTATAACCGCTTTGAGTCATGTTGTCAGCAGAAGGTCCCTGTTCGATTCGGGGCTGGGTGGTCATTTTTGTTTTGCTCTAGTTCTGTTTTGGTAAAACATCCCTTCCATGCTGCTACTATTGTCCCAGTGGACTAGTGCAGTTGAGAAAAATGAGAGGAGAATGATTTGCAAGTCATTGGACAGCCGTTCATTTTACTTACCATGCTCCCACTATCTGAGTCAATGCAACCACTGTAACTCAAATTAAACACCACACGGGTGCCAGCCCAGCCCCATATTTCCCACCTCTACACAGACATGGCAGATGCCCGATAGCACATGGTGTGCATCTGCCAATTATTCTGCCTCTTAGCAATAACATCAGCAGAAGGTCTCCTGTTTGATCCGGGGTTGGGTGGTGGCCAGTAGCACGTCCACAATTTTTTTAATCGCTCATATTTTCATTTTACAGACTATATTATAATATTGCTCCAGCCTCCAGCAGATTTTTGGCATCACGCAGCGCACATAGCCAAATTCGACCGATTCCAATAGATCCCGGCCCCCGGGCCACTGGCACCTTCCATTTCCCAAATTTTCCGAGTCTGACAAGTCCAAAAGCTCTACCTACACTTATACCAACCTTGAAGGATATAGCAGACACCTGGCAGCACATGGTGTGCATCTGCCGACTATAACCACTTTGAGTCATGCTGTCAGCAGAAGGTCCCCATTCGATTCGGGGCTGGGTGGTCATTTTTGGTAAAACATCCCTTCCATGCTGCTACTATTGTCCTAGTGGACTAGTGCGGTCGAGAAAAATGAGACTCGAGAATGATTTGCAAGTCATTGGACAGCCGTTCATTTTAGTTACCATGTTCCCACTATCTGAGTCAATGCAACCACTGTAACTCAAATTAAACACCACATGGGTGCCAGCCCAGCCCCATATTTCCCACCTCTACACAGACATGGCAGACACCCAATAGCACATGGTGTGCATCTGCCAATTATTCTGCCTCTTAGCAATAACATCAGCAGAAGGTCTCCTGTTCAGTGTTCGCCCTAAGGGCCTTAATTCGCGTTCGCCCGCCCCTTAAGGCCTTAATTCTTAAGGTCTTTAGGGCCTCCTCAAAAAAAAATCCCACGGTATAGAACCCAGCCGAAATAGCTATACTCCTCCGACATCACGCGCACCGAAGGTTTACGAGTGTGGCTGCATCTGCCTTGGCTTCCGGTGAAGCATGAGGACATGCCTCCTTATGCTTCCCACCAATTAGGTGGCTAATCCAAGCTGTCTTTTCTGCTTCCAACAGCCGCACAGGCTACTAGGCAAATTAACACAGCGACATCAGGACAAGAAAATATTCCTTACCATCCTGAAAGGTCTGCGTGTCAGACATCGTTGCTCCCATCCCATCCAGGTGATGCTTGACACATGCTTTGCAGTAGGTGTGGATAGTGAAACACATTCTGTTTGGTTATTCCCTGGTAGAAATATTGCTGGAGTGAGACTGTGGTCGACATCGGTATGGCGGCGAAAAATTGGAAAATTACAAATCATACACGTGATAATTTAAGCCTTATTAAGGTCGGGAAACTGGGGCGAAACATTTTTAAGACCTTAATTAAGGCCTTAATTAAGGCCTTAAGGGTTAAGGCCTTAGGCCTTAGGGCAAACACTGCTCCTGTTCGATCCGGTGGCTAGTAGCACGTCCACAATTTTTTTGTCCACTCGTATTTTCATTTTACAGACTACATTATAATATTGCTCCAGCCTCCAGCAGATTTTTATCATGCAGCACACATGGCCGAATTCGACCGATTTCAGTAGATCCCGGGCCACTGGCACCTTCACATTTCCCAAATTTTCCGAGTCTGACAAGTTCAAAAGCTCTACCTACACTTATACCAACATTGAAGGACATGAGAGATGCCTGGTAGCACATTGTGTGCATCTGTAGAAATTATGCCAGTCACTGACAAAATTTTCAGTGGAAGGCCTCTGTTCGATTCGGGGTCGGGTAGTGACCTTTTTTTTTCTTTTGCTCAAGTTATTTTTTTGGTAAAACATCCCTTCCATGCTGCTACTATTGTCACAGTGGACTTGCACGGTGTCGAGAACAACGAGAGAAGCTACAAGTCGTCGGACAACCATTCATTTAGTTTACTTACCATCAAAGTTCCCACTATCAATTTAACCACAATCCAAACACCACACAATGGCAACCAGGCGGCCCAGGTCCATATTACCCACCTCCACAGAGAAATGGCAGACACCTGATAGCACATGGTGTGCGTGTGCATCTGCTAATTATGGGCTCTCTGCTGATAACAGAGTCAGCAGAATGTCTCCCGTTCGATCCGGGGTCGGGTGTTTAAGAATTAGCCGGTTTGCTTTTTACTTTTTATTGTTCGAGGGCTATTTTTTACTCACTCTCGTATTTTCAGGTGTTCTACAGACTACAGATCAAGCCAATTTTCTTTTCATGCTGCACATGGATGCCAGTGGATCCCGGGCCACCTTCTTCCTGTTCAATCCCGAATCATCCGAGTCTGACTGCACAAGTCCAAAAGCCCTATCTATGTACATATAATCCCAGCGTTGGAACAACATTGTAACACCTGGTAGCATATTGTGTGCATCTGCCATCTGTGAAAGCAAGGCAAGTGTGCTGCAGAAGGTCCCCGTTCGATCCGGGGTCGGGTGGTCCGTGATCTCATCCATCTTTTACTTTTTACTGTTTTGTGGTTATTCTTTGCTTCACTGTCAATATTCTCAACAGCTCAAGCTTATTTTATCAAATTTTGCAGAGCCCCAACTCGACCCACTCCATGCCTGTGGAGGCCGGCCTCTTCTCGTTTCCCGAATTATCTGAGTCTGACTGTGCAAGTCCAAACGGCCTATGTATGCACTTACCATCCCAGCATTGGTAGGGTGACCCGATAGCACATGGTGTGCATCTGCCATCTCTCTGCAAAGCCTAAACTCAAGTGAGATACAGAAAGGTCCCCGTTCGATCCGGGGTCGGGTGGTCAATTTTTTCTGCTCAAGTTCTTTTTTGGTAAAACATCCCTTCCATGCTGCTACTATTGTCCCAGTGGACTAGTGCGGTCGAGAAAAATGAGAGGAGAATGATTTGCAAGTCATTGGACAGCCGTTCATTTTACTTACCATGCTCCCACTATCTGAGTCAATGCAACCACTGTAACTCAAATTAAACACCACACGGGTGCCAGCCCAGCCCCATATTTCCCACCTCTACACAGACATGGCAGACACCTGATAGCACATGGTGTGCATCTGCCAATTATTCCGCCTCTTAGAAATAACGTCAGCAGAAGGTCTCCTGTTCGATCCGGGGTCGGGTGGTGGCCAGTAGCACGTCCATAATTTTTTAATCACTTGCATTTCCATTTTACAGACTAAATTATAATACCGCTCAAGCCAATTTTGTTGTGGTTTCCCAGAGCCCCAACTCGACCGTTTCGAGTGGAGGCCAGGCCACTTCTTCAACCAGCTTCACAAATCATCCGACTCTGATTGTACAAGTCCAAAAGCCGTACCTACACTTATACCAACATTGAAGGGTATGACAGGCACCTGGTAGCACACGGTGTGCATCTGCTGATTACTTATGTCGCTTCTTGAGTAATGATGTCAGCAGAAGGTCTCCTGTTCGATCCGGGGTCGGGTGGTGGCCAGTTGCACGTTCACAATTTTTTTAATCGCTCGTATTTTCATTTTACAGACTACATTATAATACTGCTCAAGCCAATTTTAGTTTTGGTTTCCCAGAGCCCCAACTCGACCGATTCGAGTGGAGGCCGGGCTACTTCTTCAACCAGATTCCCAAATCATCCGAGTCTGACAAGTCCAAAAGCCCTATCTATGTGTGTACTTATAAATCCCATCGTTGGCAAGGTATAGCAGGCCCTGGTAGCACATGGTGTGTGTCTGCAGAAACTATCTTTGTTGGATTTGAGTTCAGCGGAAGGTTCCCTGTTCGATTCGGGGTCGGGTGATTAGCAATTTGGTTGGCTTTTTTAATCTTTACTGTCTATTTTTCACTCGCTCTCATATTTAGCTATTCTGTAGTACAGACTTCAAGCCTACCGGTATTTTAACTTTACAGGGCTGAAATTCGACCGATTCTAGTGGATCCCGGGCCATGTTCAATCCCGAATCATCCGCGTCTGACAAGTCCAAAAGCCCTACCTACACTTATACCAACATTGAAGCACATAAGAGAAGCCTGGTAGCACATGGTGTGCATCTGCTGATTATGTCGCTTCTCGAGTACTGTAATGAGCAGAAGGTCTCCCGTTCGATCCGGGGTCGGGTTGTAGAATTAAATTTTCATTCCTTTTACTACTTTTTTAAAAAGTACTCTCATGTCAATATTATCAGGTAACTTACAGCTCCAGCCGATTTTCGTAGCGTCCAGGACCAAATTTGACCGACTCCATGCCGGTGCAGGCCGACCTCTTCCCGTTCAATCCCGAATCATTTGAGTCTGACAAGTGCAAAAGCCCTTTCTATGCATTACAATCCCACCGTTAGCAGGATATAGCAAGACCTGGTAGCACATGGTGTGCATCTGCTATCTTTGCAAGAAACGGAAGACAGAGTTGTAGAAGGTCCCCCGTTCGATTCGGGGTCGGGTCTTACATAATTAGGATTTCCGCTCCTTTTACTACTGTTTTTTTTCGAACTTTTCTTTCTTTTACATATAGTACTCTCATCGCTCTCAATATTCTCAGGTGCAGCTCAAGCCGATTTCATTTCAAGAGCCCCGACGACTCAACCAGTGGATCCACCTCTTCCCTGTTCCGACTGCGAGTCTCGGTTTAGACTTGAAAGCTTGTCTACTTATCCCAGTGTTGGAACAATGTTTCAACACCCGGTAGCACGACGGTGTGCATCTGCCATCTTTCTAAAGTGAAAGAATGGAGACGCAGAATATCCCCCGTTCGATCCGGGGTCGGGTGCTTACACCACTCCGCCTTTGCTTTTATAATTGCTTTTGCATTTGCTTTTACTTTTGCGTCGTCTGGATGTTTTATTTGGGTGCCCCAACGGCAACAACTGGATTCTCATGCAGCTACAACTGTCACTGTGCTTCCAGATTCCAGAGCTCTACAGTTGTGCTTGCGTCCGAATTCGAGACAGCGTAACAACAGAGGACTACAGCTACAGGTAGACCAAAACTGCGGTCCCGACGGCGGTGCCGGCGAGGACCGCGTAGCCCGTCGTGTACACGCCTTTGATGCTCATGACTGGGGGCGTAGCGTCAGCGTTGGTCGGTATTCAAAAGACGAGAAGGAGATTGAATGAATGAATGACGAGGAGGACGACGCACATTTGCCCATATCCCACGACAGGTGGCGGATGCCGTTGAGCGAGTGGAAGGCGAAGGGCGCGGCGAGGAGGGCCTTGCCGGCGTATTTAGCTGCGTCGGGGAGGCCCGCGACGAATTCGATGACGTGCGCGCTGTCGAAGGTGCCGGGGGCGAGGAGGTAGGCGAGGGAGAAGGCGTAGAGGACTGTGAGAGACGTCGTGGCTTGTTACGACACGAGGAAGAGGGAGGGGAGGGGGAGGAGGAAGACGCACGGGTACTAAGCGCAGAGCCCGTGATGCGGTTCGCGATGGACGCGATCCAGGTGAGCTGCGGCTGGTAGATCGTGAAATGCGGGCTCGAGGGGCGCAGCAGCCGCTGCTTGTTGAGGATGTCGACCGACGCGGAGGGGGGCAGGGATTCCGTTTGCACAGCACTTAAGGTAACCTGTATCAGCCTCGTCGTGCTGGCCTCGCAGGGCTCACCGTTTTGCGAGAGTGGTGCGGAGGAGGGCTTGGTTACGCGCTGGCGGGGAGGGTGAGTGAGTGATGCTGGAGCGCGCGGGGATGGACTGCGGGCTAACCGAGGCTTGGGGAGAAGAGGGCTTTGCGCAGGGGCGAGCCGAGGCCGACGGCGCGAGTCGACAGCATGGCGGTGGGCGGGAGGAAGTCGGGAAGCTGCGATAAGCGTTCCGGGGCACGTGACAACGCTCAGTACCCAACACACTTACCTTCCGCCTCACCGCTGCCGGCCTCCCCTGGCACACGCTCCGCGACGCCGCCGAAGCGCGCGACGCCGCCGAGGCGCGCCTCCCGCGCGTGCATGAGCTCGAGCTCTGCATCGACAGCTCTGCCCTCACCGCGCGCTTCCGCGCCAACACCATCCGCGCGCTCGCGCCCTGGCTTGCGCGCTTCCCAGGCCTACGGCGCGTGAGCGCGGTGCAGGACGTTGCTTTCAATATCAAAGATGCTTGAGGCCGACGATTTCGGAGCTCTGTATTTCCGAACTCTAGTTCTAGGCTTCGAGGACGACCCAATGGCTGTTGTCAGTGTAGGTGGTTGTGTTGACGTCGGAAAGGGAAAGGATATAGTTTCAAGATAATTCGTTTCCGGCGGGATATCCATCCCAGCGCCCGGCACGGAGACGCCCCCCGCGCAGATCGCCTTCGACACCGCCGCGTACGTTCGGGCTCTCGACTCCATCGCCGCGCTCCCAGGCACGTACTCGCTACCCCTCTCCCTCGCGTTCCACCTCACTGCTCGGAACCTCCCGTGGCACGCCCTCCCCGCCGGCGCCCACACCGGGCCCGAGACGCGCCTCTTCCGTGTAGACGAGCTATGATTCTGGTCCGTCGGTCCAACGCGCTACAGTGCAGCCGTCATCCGCGCCTGACCTTCACGCCCTGGCTCGCGCGCTTCCCCGTCTTGCGGCGTACATAGTTCATTCGCGCACAACTCGTGGAGCCCATCCCTGCCCCCGAGCGCACCGAGTTGGCAGAAGCCATTTGTTCGGCATGCAGTGCGATAGGTGGAACGCAGGACGTCGTTTTCTTTCTCTTCGATTGACTCAAATAGTGATCGACGATATTATTGCATTGTCCACTGGCACACTAAGTAGATAGATTACGGAAGGAATACGACAATAAGTAGCGAATCCTTGAACAGTATAGTATCATCAACAACAATCGTCCGTACAGTACGAGTCCGAAACTCAAGCAAGAACAGGCGCGGGTGTTGGCGCGGGCGTCGGCTCCGGCGCGCGCACGTACTCAAAGCCCGCGTCGCGTCTCTTCTTAGCCGCGCCGACGGTGATGCTCGGCACGCTGACGCAGTTCGACGACTCGGCGGCGGGGTGCGCGGTCGGCGTCGGACTCTGCCCCTGATACCACGTCGACGTTCCGTACACACCCATCGGGAGGCTCCACACAGAAAAGATTCGGTTAGCACAACTACATATATGGCATATGATCAGGGAAGGAAGGAAAAGGCGCACTCGTCGTCGGCAGCGCAGTTCTCGTACGTGCCCGCATTGTAGTTGGCCGGCATGTTCTACGTGTGCTTCTCAGTACAGTACTGATATGTTATGCGAGGACGGCGGGCGTACCCAGTAGCAGCCCATGACATCGTAGATGTGCTGGCAGTTGCGCGCGGCGTTGGGCCCGACGCACGCACGGAAGCAGAACTCGGTGTCGGAGATAAAGCTGGTCCATTCGTGGTACTGCAGCCCAGTGCCGAAGCTGTTCCCGAAGACAAGGCCGCCGACTGCCACGTCCTTCTGTTAGCACGTATCCATCAAGCGAAACAGTCTCACGACGCACTGGGGTTTCCGTTGCCGTCAGCGCCGTGAGGGTCTGAAGGACGGGTGTTAGTAAACGGTGCATAAAACGGAGTGCTCGAGCTAACCAAGTTCGCCTCCTCTGCGGACGAGAATTGATCAGGATCTAACCCAAAGAGCTTGGAAAGTACTCTTACTCGTCGCCTCCGGGGATGTTGATCTTGGTGAAGTCACCGACGCCGGTGACCTGAAAGGGTGTCAGGAGAGGCGGCTGTTTAGAGAGCCGGTACTGACCTGGACGTAGTCCGGCGTAGTCAAAAAGTGGACGCCCTTGAGGGTGCCATTCGGGATCGCACGCGTCCCGCGGCCGGATTTCGTGCACCACGCAACCTCCTCTTGCTCTGTGTCACCGATGGTGCCTACGCTAGGCGGGGCCCAGAGACAGAAATCTTGCGCAGAGCTAAGCCGCATTTAGCGTGTAATAATATGTCACAGACAAAAAAGAACGAACTTGAGCCAGACTGTCTGGCATTCGGAGCTCTGGCTGGACGTGGTGCCGCATGCGTTGGTGCCGGTTTGGCCGTTTTCAGAGGTGGCGGGGAGGGCGTTCGAGGAGTAGCCGGTGTTCCAGATCTGGTTCGGGTTGGTGCCGCTGCAGTCCCAGATTTGAGGCTAGGAGAGGGGTTTATAAGCGAGGGGTTGGAAGAAAGGATAGAAATCGTACGCGAGTACCGTCGGTCTGGGCGCCATTGGTCAAATCCACGCACTTGCCGTGGTTGGTCCACGAGAGGTGATAGTCGCCCTGTGAAACACAACTAAGCCGTTGTACGAATTCAGACTCAGTGAACTCACGGTGTAATAAAATTGCTGGTTAGCGTTGCCGTTCCCGCAAGTCCAAATCTGGAGCGTGTTGCCGTTGGTGGTCGCCCCATTGGTGACGTCAAGACACTTGGTATTGCCAAAGATCTTGACGCTGCCGCCAGTAAAGGTCCATTGCTGAGACGAGGCGTCGGTACAGGTTTGGATGGTGACGATGGCACCGTCGGTGTTCGATGCAGCCGTCAAGCACTTTCCTAAGCACAAGAGTGAGATATTAAGAGGATTCCAACTAGGCGAGCGTACCGTTGTTCAGGCCGGGCTCAATGAGCAGCACGCCGATGTACCTAGGGAGTTCGTTGATTCAGAACCGCAAAAACTCGGTGAAAAAACGTACGAAGGAGTCTGTGCTTTGACAAGGGCTAGGAAGAGTGAAAGCGCCGAGGCGACGCGAGAGTAGTGCATTTCCGTGAAAAAATTGGGGTTCGAATAGTGTAGAGGTCAAGACTTTGCGGGGGCAAAGAGCGAAGAGACGAGACGGCCGGACCAGGTATAAATGCTCGCCCAACAGTCCACGCCCCTTTGGCCCAGGCCCATATATTTCTTGGCGTCCGCTCCCATTTCAAAGAAGTCCAGGAAAATTTGCGGCCTTGAAGCTTCGGGAAGTAGCCGAAATCGCGCCTCTAGTCTGATTTTCTTCTTTTCCTCTGACCTCGTAGAGTTTTGCATTTCGGGCCCAATCTTTCTTGGAAGGCTTCGCCTTGAGGGGTTCAATCTGTAAGGGTCCATTGAAATTCGAGACACGGGCGCATTGAAGGCTAGCGTTGAGGTCGGAGGGAGAGCGTACTAGTGCGGGCCAGAAGCAACGATTAAAAACACACACGGGCCGTGTTTGCCGGGTCTAACGCGATCACGTGTCAAGACGCCCCGGCGCGTTGGAATCGGAACTTCTGTTGAAAGTAAGATTAGCTAAAGCAATATTCGGCTGATACGGAGGGTTCTCCCATAAGCCATGAGTCGTGGCTGCGGAAGCGTCGCAGTTGTCCCTTATTTTCTAGGACCCCCGACAATCACCTCAGATGTTCGAAGTAACTCAAGGTGATTGAGGCATTGGGATGGCTTGGGACAGCTTGCGAGTGTCCACGCGGCAGCCAGTTTCCCCCCACCCCACCTCGTCATCTCCATCGCGCGCCCCGTCCTAACTGCCGGCGAGCTCTCCGGCCTCCGCTGCAAAATGTCG